TTAATCAAAGCCACACTGATAGTGTTGTGAGGTGTCATTAATTTTATTCCTGAGTACCACAAATCACTAATGATGACATATTATACTTGTTTGTCTGTGAGTTTCTTCCCATTCTTGGACTAAGATTGAGCTTCCAGATTTCTAATTAACAGATTTTTTTTAAAGTTATGGGCCTTCAGTTGTATTGCTACAAGATTTCTATAGTATGTGACTTCCCAGCTTATAAAGAACATTCACATTCACTTATCTCATGTGATCTTTGTGACTTTATGACTGCCTGTGAAAGAGGAGAGGGGGAAGGTATTCTCAGCCTCATTGTACAGAAGAAATAAAATCTCCAAAAGACTAAATGAATTGCTCAAAGTCACCGAGTTAGTGGTGGCAAGATCCTTAGGCTCTGAGTTCTAGAATCTTCCAAACTGCCTAGACACAAACAGAAATATTTATATTTTTCATTTTAAGCTGTAAGCTGTAAAATGCCCTAATTCTTTGCCAATCGTGTGCACTTTTGGTGAGGATTTCCAGAACTTGTTTTTTTAAAAAGTCCAGAAACATTTTTAAGAAGGAAATTCATTATTTTATACTAACATGTCAAAATGTAAATTTTAGGTTAAGATTGAGTATGTATAATTTATTTTTTTAAGTCTGTAATCATAAGTAAACTTAATTGAAAGTTTAATTACATGCTTATTTTGGCCTCACTTAATAGGAGTTAGAAGTTCATTTCGTAATATATTTATTATAGAGTCAAGGAAGAAAAATAAAATGCATACGAAAGGAAACATATACAAATAAAATGCCCTAGTGCAAATGTTTTTAGAAATTCATTAGCTATTACTGATGAAGCTCCGGTTAAAAATGCGCAGTTAGAACCATGTGCAAAATAAGTTGACTGGGGAATAAAAAGTGAAAGAAAAGATATCTGCTTTTTATTAAGACCTAAAGTGTGTTATAATTGGGTTGAGTTTCTCTCCAGATGGCCCCCTCATGCTGACATCTGCAAAGTGTATGTAAAACTGTGTTGGGGCATTATCTTCTGTGGCTGTGTGGACACATGTTACTCAGTTAAAAATGAAGACCTTGGAGTCCTTCATGCTGGTTCCTGCTAATGCATGCTGTGCTTTTCAGACCAGGGAAAATCTCATGTGTTTGGGACCAGGGGGAATCTCATGTGTTTCACTATTGGAAAAGACTTGGAATTCCTTAGAGCAATTATAAATATTTGATCTTCAGTCTGAAATAAATCAATAACTGAACTGTAGATGCAAGTCTATCAGAGACCACAAAAAGTTGACAGTACAGTTATCTCTGAAATGTAAAACATAAGAAAATGCTTCTTGTAAGTTGTGAAATTTCAGATTCAAATACATGTTTTCATATCATATTTATCGAGTGAAAGCCATCATCTTTAGACTTATTCAAAAAGAAATCCCTGTGTATGAAAATTGGTTTTCAAGTATTTTTTAATTGACAAATAAAAACTATATATATTTGTGGCAGAGAGTATGATGTTTTGATATATGTATACATTGTAGAATGATTAAATTAAACTAATTAACATTATCTATCACCTAACACAGTTACCTTTTTTGTGTGTGGTAAGAACATTTAAAATATCCTCTCTTAGCAATTTTCAAGTATACACACATTAACCATCGTCACCATGTGAAAGAGATAGCTACACTCCCGTGCTCTTTGCAGCATTACTCATGTAATGTATATACCCAGAAATGAGATTGCTGTATCATATAGTGGTTCTATTTTTGTTTTTTGAGGAACTTCTATGCTGTTTTCCATAATGGTTGTAATAATTTACATTCCCACCCACAGTGTACAGGGTTCCCTCCTTCTACGTCTTCACCAACACTTGTTATCTTTTGTCTTTTTGACAATAGCTATTCTAAGATGTGAGCTGATGTTTCATAGTGTTTTTAATTTGCATTCCGCTGGTGATTAGTAATGTTGAGCATTTTTTCACATACCTGTTGACCATTTGTATATATTCTTTTATGAAGTATGTATTCAGGTTCTTTGCCCAGCTTTTAATTGGGTTATTTGTTTTCTTGCTATTGAGTTGTTTGCATTTCCTTATGCATTTTAATTATCAACCCCTTATTGAGACATGGCTTGCAAATATTTTTCACCATTCCATAGGTTACCTCTTCACTTTGTGACTGTTTCCTTTGCTGTGTAGGAGCTTTCATTTGGTGAAATTCTATTTGTCTATTTTTGCTTTTGGGGTCATATCCAAAATATCTTTGCCAAGACCAATGTCAAAGTGGGGTTTTTCCCTTTGTTTTCTTCTAGTAGTTTTACAGTTTCAAGTCTTATGTTTAAGTCTTTCATCCATTTTGAGTTGATTTTTGTATATGCAGTGAGGTAAGGGTATGATTTCATTCTTCTGCATGTGATAGTCAGTTTTCCCAACACCATTTGTTGAAGAGACTATCCTTTCCCCATTGTGTATTCTTGGTTCCTTTGTTGAAGATCAGTTGACTGTAAATGTGTGGATTTATTTCTGGGTTCTCTATTCTGTTGCATTGATCTATGTGTCTGTTTTTATGCTAGTACCATGCTGCTTTGATTACTATACCTTTGTAATATACTTGTATTTCAAAGTCAGGTATTGTGATGCTTCCAGCTTTGTTTTATTTGCTCGGGATTGCTTTGGCTATTCATGGTCTTTTATAGTTCAATACAAACTTTAGGACATTTTTTTTCTGTTTCTGTAAAAAAATGTCATTGGAATTTTGATAGGGATTGCATTAAATCTGTAGATCACTTTGGGTAGCGTGAACATTTTAACAATATAAATTCTTTTAATACACGAATCTAGGGTACTTTTTCATTTATTTGTGCCTTTTACAATTTCTTTCATTAACATGTTATAGTTATCAGTGTACAGATCTTTCATCTTCTTGGTTAAATTTATTCTTAAGTATTTTTTATGGTATTGTAAATGAGATTGTTTTCTTGATTTACTTTTCAGATAGTTCATTGCTAATGTATAGAAATGCTAAATATTTTGGTATGGAGATTTTGTATCTTGCAATTTTACTGCATTTGTTATTTCTAACAGTTTTTTGGTGGAGTCTTTAGGGTTTTCTATATATAAGATGTCATCTGCAAACAGGGACAATTTAATGTCTTACTTTCGGATTTGGATGCCTTTTATTTCCTTATCTTGCCCAATTTCTCTGATTAGAACTTCTAATACTATGCTGAATAAAAGTGGTAAGATTGGACATTCTTGTCTTACTCCTGTCTTAGAGGAAAAGATTGTAACTTTTCACTGAGTAAGAGATGTTAGCTGTGGGATTGTGATATACGTCCTTTATTGTGTTGAAGTACATTTCTTCTATACCTAATTTGTTGACAGTCTTTATCATGAAAGAATGTTAAATTTTGAACAATCCCTACTACTTTTTAATACTTTTTCTATTGAGATGATCAAACAGTTTTTGTCCTTCATTCTGTTACTATGGTGTATCACATTTATTGATTTGCACTTGCATCTCAGGGATAAATCCTCCTGAATCATGTTGAATGATCCTTTTAATGTGCTGCTGAATTCTAGTTGCTAGTATTTTGTAGAGAATTTTTGCATCTATGTTTATCAGGGTATTGGCCTGTAATTTTCTTTTCTCGTAATGTCCTTGTACAGTTCTGGTGTCAAGGTAATGCTGGCCTCAAAAGTGAGTTTGGAAGTATTCCGTCCTCTTCAGTTTTTTGGCAAGAGTTTGAGAATGTTTGGCATTAATTCTTCTTTAAATACATGGTAGAATTTGTTTGTGAAGCCACACATTCCTGAGCTTTTCTTTGAAGGGAGATTTTTGATCACACTAGAAAAAAACATAGTAGAAAAGTTTCTTGACATTGGTCTGGGCAATAAAAGTTTTCATATATGACCCCAAAAGCACAGGCTACAACAGCAAAAACAGACAAATGGGATTGCATCAAACTGAAAAGCTTCTACACAGGAAAGGAAACAATCAACAGAGTGAAAAATGCAACCTGTGAAATGAGAGATAATATTTGTACAACGTACATCTAATGAGGAGTTAATATCCAAAATATATAAGGAATTCAAACAACTCAATAGCAAAAAATAGTAATAATAGTAATAATCTGATTTTAAGATGGGCAAAGAGGCTGAATAGACATTTATCGAAAGAACACATACAAATAGCCAACACATATATGGGAAACCTCACCAATCATCAGGAAAATACAGATCAAACCACATTAAGATATCACCTCACACCTGTTAGAATGGCTTTTATCAAAAAGATAGACTGGCCAGTTAGTTCAGTTGGTTAGAGAATAGTGTCGATAGCACCAAGGTCAAGGGTTCAGACCCCCATACCGACTAGCCACCGAAAAAAAAAAAAAAGAAAAAAGAAAAAAAGGCAAAGGATAACAAGGATTGTTGATGATGTGGAGAAAAGGGAAGACTTGCACATGTTGCTGGAATGAAATTTAGTACAGACATTATGGAAAACGGTGTGAAAATTCCTCAAGAAATTAATAGTTCTACCATATAATTCAGCAATCCCACATCAGGGTATATATTCAAAAGAAATAAAAGCAGTATCTTGAAGACATGTCTGCATCCCAACTCTTATTGCAGGACTACTGCAAT